AAAGCGCTCTCGGGATCTCCGAATGACCCGCGCGATGAATTCTCCCGGATAGTAGCCAAACAGTACCCCAGATTCACTTTGCAGACCCTAATAAATAGAAACTGTAACTAAATCTCTGAACTGGATCTTTATTTCTAATTTTTCAATCCTCTCTATGCACGGCCTGATAGAGCCAATGTTCTGACGACTCTCTTTCCATTCGGAAGAGCCATCTCGAGATTGATGCTATTTCATGGAAAATGCATTATGTGGATTTTCCCCCAAATACTAATTTTTGCACTTGATGAAAAACACAAGACTTTCTGTTCTCCACGCACAGGTTAGCGTTTTGAGAAGTTGGTCCACCCTAAGTCTTCAGTTCTGTAAGAGGAAACAGATCACAGCGTCCTCTATCCCCCCTCTTCTTCATAAATTTAAGTGAGATCTCCCAGAAAGGACCGGAAGGGGGATGGCTAATATTAACGTGTGCGCAGCTGCACAAAAAGGAAAACAATGGCAATAGGAAAATGCTCTAGGGACCCTCGTGTTTATGGGAGAAAAATGTACATAAGGGAAAACTAAATTTGCAGTGGTTGTTTTGTCCCAGACTGTTATACAGGCTCACTGCAGTACAGGAAAGGCTACCTATCTCTGCTTATGCCCCTCCTGTAGGCTGCTGTTGACCTGTTTAGGCAAGAGTCCTTCCATCTTACTCTTTAGACAAATGAGGCAAGGAGATAAGAATCTGTAAGATTATATATATATATATATATATATATATACACATATACATACATATATATACATACATATATATATATATCTTGCCATCTAATTGAAGCAACACCACATGATTTTACTAAAGGCCTTTAGGAAACGGAGACTCCCAGGTATTCTTATGTTTTGCTTTGTTTTGTTTCTTAAAAGGGAAACTTGGATATAAAAATTATTGTTAAATAGTCCCTTTACATACTACATAATGAAGTAGAATTTGTACCATAAAGAAGCTATTTAAGGAAACATACCCTCCAATCCTAATCAAAATTACGGTATTCTGAGAACACCACCCCCTTCGCAAACCCACAGCCAAAATTTGAGGCAGGAGCTGGTCCCTTCTAGGGCTTAAATTTTGTCTAGGCGGAGATGAAAGAGCAATACTATTAGCAACATACTTTTGTCTTTCTTGTAGCCTTGATTTCAAATCTAGTCGCAAATCATAAGCTTTTGTGCTGCTCAGATGTTCCTTCTTTATCTTAATGAGAAAACTTTTCGCAAAGGGAGCGCCAGCCTCTGATAAGTCAGCCCCCAGGCTGCCAGGGAGCGGTCGAGTTCCCCGGCTACACCGGAGAGCTGCATGTTTCAGAAGAATGACTAAAAAGTTTAAGTCACTCAGACCTCCGCTTCCCCTTCTGCTTGCTGCAGAAAGAGATGTAACCTGAATCTTTGTTTAGGTTTTGGTTGGGGAGCGAGAATTAAAAAGCCACGGCAAATGCAGAGAGCAGATTTTTTTTTTTTT